CGTGTCCCCTGCATTGGCAGGCGGATTCTTAACCATTGTGCCACCAGGGAAGCCCCTACCCCTAAATACTTAAGCAACGTTTAAGAGAGAGGCCTTTTCCTCCTAAATAACCACAGTACCATTAACATGCTTCAAGAAGTTTGGCATAAAATATATACAATTGATTTTTCTGAAGAAGCCAGGCCAGTGGTGTAGAATGTCCTACATCTGCATCTTCCTGATTGTTTCCTCATATTAAAATCCAGTTAAATGTTTCTGGCAAGGATATAGTAGTCCCTTCCCTTATCTGCAGTTTTGCTTTCTGCAATTTGTTACCCATAGTAAACTGAGGTACAAAAATATTAAATGGAAAATTCCAGAAATAAACATGTTTTAAATTGAGCACCGTTCTGAGTAGCATAATGAAATCTTTCGCTTTCCCTCTCCATCCCATCCATCCCATTAGTCACTTAGTAGCTGTCTTAGTTATCAGGTTGACTATCATGATATCACAGTGCTTGTGTTCAAATAACTTTACTTAATAATATCCCCAAAGTGCAAGAGTAGTAATGCTGGCAATTTGCATATGCTAAAGAGAACCTGGAAAGTGCTTTCTTTAAGTGAAAAGGTGAAAGTTCTTGACTTAATAAGGAAAGAAAAAAAAGTCCTATGCTGAGGGTGCTAAGGTCTAAGAACAACTCCAGTCTGTTTTATCGTGAAGAAGGAAAAATATTTGTGCTAGTTTTGCTGTTGAACCTTGAACTGCAAAAGTTATAGCCACAGTGAGATAAGCGCTTAGTTAAGATGGAAAGACATTAAATTCGTACAATAAGATATTCTGAGGGAGAGAGAGAGACCACATTCACATAACTTTTATTACACTACATTTTTATTAGTTATTGTTAATCTCTTACTGTGCCTAATTTATAAATTAAACTTTATCATAGGTATGTATAGGAAAAAACATAGTCTTTACAGGGTTCGTTCTGTACTATCCCCAGTTTCAGGCATCCACTGGGGGTCCTGGAATGTATCCTGCATGGGTAAGGGGGTACTACAGTACTACACAGATGATGTGAAATTCCAATTATATCGCCTCAAGAGGGACATGATGTGAGTATGTCCAGCATTTTTTTTTTTTTTTTTTACATTTACCCATCAACCAACAGAAGGCAACACAATGTAGAAATAGGGTGAGAAAATGGTTTGTATTTAGACCTATGTTCAAATCCCATTCTATATAGCAGTTATATGACTATGGATAAGTTAGCCAACCTTCCTGTGCTTCTGTTTTATGATCTGAAAATGGGAGCTACTTTGCAGGCTTATAATGAGAATGAAAGATTAATAAGATTAGGTCTTATTCATTATAATCATTTTTATAATCATGGTGCTTAGGAAAATGGTTTAAGCCTAGCCATTCTTTCCTAAGCTTTGCTAGCTGCCAATGCAGTTTCTCCTGTTTGTACAGATGCCAGGGCGCTTGTCCTTAGCAGCACATGGAGTCCATCTTCCATGTTTTGCAAAGGCAAGTTCATTTGGCCCAATTTTGCATAATTTTCCTACGTTGGGGAGGTTTGTTCAAAACAAAGAAAAGTGGGAGGGAGGAGGGTAAGCTGGGACGAAATGAGAGAGTGGCATGGACTTATCTATACCAACAAATGTAAAATAGAGAGCTAGTGGGAAGCAGCCGCATAGCACAGGGAGATCAGCTTGGTGCTTTGTGACCACCTAGAGGGGTGGGGTAGGGAGGGTGGGAGGGAGATGCAAGAGGGAGGAGATAATGGGGATATATGTATGTGTATAGCTGATTCACTTTGTTATACAGCAGAAACTAACACACCATTGTAAAGCAATTATACTCCAATAAAGATGTTAAAAAAAAAAGTGATGTGATTCTGTAGTAGCCTTGGCTCACCACAGCTGTGGTCATGCTTTTATTTATGATTAGCTTTCTGCCCAGCATTTTAATTCTAAAAGTATCATGTTAGAGCAAGTATTAAGCTCTGGAAGTAAATTCTGAAAATTTGGAGAATGTCATTTATATTAGTGTACTAGGGCTGCCATAACAATACCACAGGCTTAAAGAACAGAAATTTAGGAGTTCCCTGATGGTCTAGTGGTTAGGATTTGGCACTTTCACTGCCGTGGCCCAGGTTCCATCCCTGGTTGGGAAACTGAGATCCCGCAAGCTGTGCGGCCAAAAAAAAAGAAATAAAAACACACAAAAAAATTTATTTCTCACAATTCTGGAGGCTGGAAGTCCAAGATCAAGGTGCCAGCAGGGTTGGTTTCTGATAAGACTGCCTGCCTTGCTTGCAGAGAGCTGCCTTCTCTGTGTCCTCACAAGGCCTTTTTCTCTGTGTGCACACATCTTTGGTGTCTCTTTTTTTTTTTTTGGCCACACTGCATGGCATGCAGGATCATAGTTCCCCGACCAGGGATTGAACCGTGTCCCCTTCAGTGGAAGTGCAGAGTCCTAACCACTGGACTGCCAGGGAATTCCCTGGTGTCTCTTTTCTTAAAAGGACACCAATCCTATTGGATTACAGCTCCACCCTTATGACCTCATTTAACCTTAATCACCCCCTTAAAGGCTTTAGCTCTGAATAAAGGCACATTGGGGATTAGGGCTTCAACATATGAATTTGGGTGGGTGGGGGCACAATTCAGTCCATAACATTAAAGACATACAGCTGACTGGTATAAAAAGAGGTCAGGCCTTTGAGGCAGATAAGGATTCAACTCTTACCTATACAACTTTGTGGCCTTCGGCAAATCAATCCCTGTGACTGTCACTTTCCTTATATATATGTGAAGTAGGTATGACAGTACCATATGAGGATCGGGAAATATCTCTTCCCTAGAGGGAGATGACATGAATTAATGTGGGGATTAAGGTGGGGCTGGTGACCTGGAAACGCAGAAAGACCCGCAGATTCATAGGCTCCATTTGTCAGTTATCTGTGCTCTACCAGTAATAGGAAAAGTCAAAAGGTAAAATCTGAAACCTGGTGAGATGGGAAAAGAGAACCTCGGAAAGAAGTAGCAGGATAAAAAATTCACCCCTGATGAACACAGATGCAAAGATCCTCAACAAAATAGTAGGAAACAGAATTCAACAATATATTTAAAGTATCACAACATTATCAAGTGGAATTTATTCCAGGAATGCAAGGATGGTTCAATATCCACAAATCAATCAACATGATACAGTAAGTCCCCTACATATGAACCTTCAAGTTGTGAACTTTCAAAGGTGCGAACGTGTGTTCGTATGTCCAATCACTTGAGTTAGTTCACGTGTCCAGCATACTTTTCAAGGTACTTACTTGTAAGATTTAAAATGTCTTCTTTATATTTGTGTTTGTTTTTTATGTATTATTTGCGTGAAAAATACTATAAACCTATTACAGTACAGTACTATATAGCCAATTGTGTTAGTTGGCTACCTAGGCTAACTTTGTTAGACTTACAAATTGGACTTACAAACGCGTTCTCGGAACAGAACTTGGTTGTATGTAGGGGACTTAATGAACATCACATTAACAAAATAAAAGGATGAAAACTGTATGATCATCTCAATAGATGCAGATGTGATGAATTGGGAGATTGGGATTGACATATACACTAATATGTATAAAATGGATAATGAGAACCTGCTGTATAAAAAAATAAAAACATAATAACAAATTCCAGGTTTACCACTTAACTGGTGAATTTGACCAAATCTAAGCCTCATTTGCTTAGTGGGAGTAACAGTGCTTCATTGGGAGGTCAGGAGGATTAAATGTTAAGTTGAGCCACATGAAATTGCTGTCTGGAGGTCAAAAACAGCGGTGGAATCTACCCAAATAGTTAGCATTCCTTTGCGCTTCTGATTTTCAAAAAATTTAGTCCTTTCCTCTTATCCTGTCTGCGGCATACTCCTGCTCAACTCTCTGGGTGGCCCTGGGGGTTCATAAGTTGCACACTGTTGACCTACCCTGTGGAAGCTAATAAATTCACCTTGGGACAGCCTTGTGAGATTTGGCAATTACTACAAGGATCTGGAGCTACTTTCCAGCCAGCCACAAGCACATCCCTTGGGGTCCAGAAACGTCAAGAGCCATGACAGCTCCATGCCCCGACGCACACAAACACAGTACACTTTCTTTCTTAATATTTAGTTATTATTTATTTGGCTGCGCCGGATCGTCGTTGCTGCCCGTGGGATCTTTAGTTGCCTGGCATGCATGGGGGATCTAGTTCCCTGACCAGGGATGGAACCCGGGTCCCTTGCATTGGGAGCGTGGAGTCTTAACCACTGCACCACTAGGGAAGTCCCAAACACAGCGCACTTTTGCTCTTCTTTCCAAGTACTATTTTGTCCTTGTTTATCACTGTACGACAGGTAGTGACGTTGGTTTCATTTTAAAATGTGGAAACTGAGTCCTAGAGAAGGTCAGGTCTCATCCAAGGTCTCGGGCACAGCGTGGTGTTGGAAATAACGAAGGTTTGGCGTTCCCAAGGCACTGCCTCTAGTTTGTGTGACCTCCACAAGGTCCTTGAACCTTTCTCTCTAGCCTGTTTCCTTTTGTAGAGACGGGAGTTAATACCTCCCTTTGTCATACCGCTCTTTTCGGTTCAATCCAGCCTCTCCCCGGTCCGCCCTTGGGGAGCTCCAGCTGTGGCGAGAGGACCTGTGCGGAAACACTGCGGGGAGCGCGTGCGCGCCACGGCCTAACGGGCTCTGAGTCTGAGGGCGCGCACCCGCAGCCCCCCGGAAATATCGATATTTAATTTCGACTAGAGACATAACTTGGCTTGACATCCCCAGGGTCAGGCCGATTACGAGCACCGCAGGGTGCTAGAAAGGAGGGACTGAAACAATCCAGCCCCCGGAAGGGCGGAACAGTTGAGCCAACCCTGCAGCAGGCGCGACCAGAAAGTTCGGGCGCTTACGGCCCACACCTGCGCGTCGCCATCTTGCTTGAAGAGGGACCGCCTCTCTCCCGGCTGACAGCTGGTTAGTCAGGAGGCGGGGCTCGGCGGGGCGGGGCCAGGCGATGGCGACCGCGGAGCCCAGCGAGCCTGCGGCGAGGGCGTCTCTCCCGGCACCCCGGCCCAGCGGGACCGGAGCTGCAGGGCCGCCCACCGAGCGAAGCGGCATTGGAGTCCCCTGGCTGGGGAAGCGGACCCCGGCGGCTGTGGAGAAGCGGGGGCCGTACATGGTGGCGCGCGCGCCTTCCAGTCAGGCCAAGCTGCGTGAGTGCGGCCCGATGAGGGGTCTCTGCTTGGGCGGGCTGCCGCGTCCCGGGCGGGCTCCGGAGCGCCGCTGGGTCGACCCCGGAGGGGCTCCTACAGCCCGCTCCCGCACCCGGAAGTCTGTTCGGAGAGCGGGCTCCTGGCGTTTGGGAGGCACGGCGGAGTGGGGAACACTCCGCTGACCCGGTCCCTTTGACTTCCAGAGAAGCACCGGGACCTGGCTAAGGCAGTTCTGCGGAGAAAAGGCATGCTGGGGGCCGCGCCGAACCGCCCCGACTCTTCAGGGAAAAGGTCTCAGCAGGCGCCACCTCCTCTGTGCAAGCGTTTCCAGAGAAGGCCTTAGTGTAGTCTGGGAGACAGAGTACCCACGCTTAAGGCCCAGCTAGTGATGCTCCTAAGGCCAACCTGTCCGGTTCACTGTTTTAAAACGGGAAGAGGAACGACCTTGTCTTTCCCTTCCAGGATGTGATGACGTCAGGGAAGGAGCTTTGGAATAAGAGTTTTCGTCAGTGCCTAGGATCATTCATTGTCTAAATTAGGGGGGAGCATAGTGGCTGGGATCCCCAGAAGTGAGGATGGAGAGCAGTGTGGAAACAGCCAGGGCTGTATTTTCTTCTTAACAGACGGTAAACTCTGAGGGCTGGATGGGACCTTATCCAGGGCCTCTTTCACAAAGAAGAGCTAAAGCAGGTGAAGGAATTTGTCTAAGGACTTTGGATTTTCTGTTCTCTGGTTAAATAAGGTGGGGAGATGGGGCTTTTCCTGATTCATGAAAGAGGTGTGCTTTTGCTCAGGAGCAGCAGGGGGAGTGGTGTGGGGAAGTGCACATTCTGAGGAGCTGTGCCCAGATACATGGCAGGCAGTGGTGGCTGTCCAGACAGAAGGCAAGTCAGGAGTAGTGCAGTTTTTTTTTTTTTCCATAAGGGCGAGGACTCTGGCTTTCCTTGTGAAATGCTGGCGTTTCATCTATGCTTGGTCTGTCCCCCCATCTCCCCTCAGGTCAGTGAAGTTTAACAAGGGCTATACTGCTCTTAGTCAGAGTCCAGATGAAAACCTGGTGTCCCTCGACTCTGACAGGTGAGTGCCCTCCTTGAAAATACCCCCTGGGGAGTGACTTGGATAAAATTTCAGATCACTTGCTTCGCTTATTCCCTGTCTCTTCCAAGACCTTTTGTGCATGTTCCAGGGCTGCTGCTTCAGAGCACTATCTCTTCCCAGGATGGCTTGCTTAGAGGACTCATAGGTGATCTTGCTGCTCTTGGATTTGAAGCACCAACCTTGTCTGGGGGAATCATCCTGCCCTATTATGTCTGCACTGTTAGTGACAGTGACCCTGTCCCTGCTGGAGCCAATGGAAGGAGCCATTTATACTCATGGCAGATTATGGGTTTGAGTTCTATGGTGTGTGGTCTTTGCTTCACAAGTCCTCCAGACTCCTTTGCATGCTGTGCACCTTGCCATTTGTAGCTGTGCTCCACGGGCATCTCCCCGAACTGACTGTCTTCCTTTTCTCCTAGTGATGGGGAGCTGGAATCCAGATACTCCTCCGGGTATTCCTCTGCAGAGGCAAGTCCAGAGCACCTTTCTGTGGTGGGGCCAGGCTGCAGGCAGTGTCACTGCCGCTGCCAAATGCTTGTCTGGTTCCTGCTGTATGCATGGCACTGTGCTAGACTTCCAGTCTGTTCTCCAATCTTCTACTCTGCCCTCTTCTTCCAGCAGAAGTTTAGGTGTCTGAGGAGTGCTGTTGAAAGTCCAGGAGACCATAGACCCTTAGGGATGGAAATGACCTCACTAGTCTTCTAATCCAGGCCACCACTTAGAAAAGGAATCCTCTTGATAAATCCCAGCTAAGTGTTTACCATCCTCTGCTTGTTTGAATGCTTCTTGTAATTGGGTAGTGAGTAGTGAGTACTACCTTCAAGAAACCTTGCTGCCTGTCTTCCCCCACCGGCACACACAATTCAGGTAGCTCGTAGAGAAGTCTTCCTTGTTAATTGGAAGTGTCTCCTGCAGCCTGGACTTAGCGGTCCTAGTCCTGCCTCCAGCATCACACAGTAATTCTAGTCTCCCTTCTTTTGATTGTCTTTTATCTGAGATTAGCATTTCTGTCCCTCCCCTGGCCATCCTCCACCAAGCTTGCTTTCTTCCAGGCCGACTTCTGTTCCTTCAGTTGTTCCATCTATGGGAACTGAGACAGAGATAGATACTCCTGGGCTGGCCTTTTGGACAGTTTCCAGAGTGACTGGCCCAGACAGAAACACGGGGACGTAAAGTTCTGGCACGTGCGGCTTACTGCCTTTGACAGAGATGAAGTGCTGGGGACCTGACTGTATACCACTGGTATTTCTTCCTTATTCTCCTGGAAACCCTTGGCCGCCCCCTGAGTTTCTGCCAGAGAATACAGGCAGTTTGAAAACTGTATCCTCCTTGAACCTCTGGGTGCCTAAGATTGTTAAAAAAAAAAAGAAAAAAAAAATTAGCCAAGAACCAGAGAAAGTCCTACACTCTGCAGTCTCATTTTCCTTCTGCTCAGTGGAATTGGTGAAGCCGGGCTGACAGATGCCACTTTGCAAGGAATGAGCTCTGTTGGCATCAAAGGATGACATGGCTAACTGGCAGTGCAGAATAAGCTATTCCCCACCCCGTTCAACTCTAACCCATATTCCTCTACCCTTCTACCCGATTATTCTGTTATCATTGTTCCATATTCTTCAGCCTTCATAGGGACCAGTCTGGGTTCCCAGTGGGAATGGTCAGGTCTTGACTTTCAAACATAATCTGTAATCTGATATTTATATCAGCTTTCTCAGGATTCTTTAGTGAGGGCAGCTGCCCTGGCAGCTAGTGACAATGCAGCCTGGATAGTACTGGCTCAGGCCCCTGGATGTCCCTCCCTGCTGGGTGAGGCACTTCTTCCTGTAATCCCGGGTTGTGTGGGCTTGGCCTGAGGGTGGAGCATGCATAGTAAGGAAATGCGGGTCTGCCTTTTGGGCAGCAGTTATTTCTGCCTTGTAGCCTGGCTTATAGTTCTCTCCTCTCCTGCTCTTAGCAGGTGAACCAGGATGTGAGCCGGCAGCTGCTCCAGGATGGGTACCACCTGGATGAGATTCCAGATGATGAGGACTTGGACCTCATTCCCCCCAAGCCTATGACTTCCTCCACATGCTCCTGCTGCTGGTGCTGTCTTAGGGATGCTTCCTCCTGTACCCTCCAGTAGACATAACCCCCTAAGATGGGCCCTGCTCACCATGACTGCAGAGTCCTGTTGGCCCTTCATTGGTCACAGAGTGCAGTGGGAACTGCTGTCAACCCCCGAATCACTGGAGACACTGACCCTCTGGGAAAGTCAGTGACCGCAGTTACCCCATACCTGGTGCTTCTCAGGCCAGAGGCCCCCATCTGGGCCACAGGGGATAGGTGGGATTCTGCAGTTTTCCTCTGCTGTTGGAATGGTTGGAGAAACCACTTTAATAAGGGAAGGAACAGAGGAATTCTGGTTCTTATGGTGAGTGACAAAGTTGGCTAAGAGAAAAACTTGCAGACATCTTTGTCACCATGCCGTATGGAGGGGAAAGGAGAGCTCCTGCGCCCAGGTTGTGCTGGATATGTTGTGTGGAGGCAGAGAACAGCACTTTATGGCTTGCAGCTGGGAGTCTCTGAAAAAGAATTTAACTATTTGGGACCAATCCAGTTCAAGAAATTCCATATGCTCTCCTCCTCTTCCTAGCTCCAAGATGGGTTACCTATTTGACCTTCAAGAGAACATAAAGCAGGGCCCTTTGAAGGCCCTCTTCCAGTTGTTCCTGTTTGACTGTTCAGCAGGTTGCTTAATGGCACAACCTGATCAAGGCTTCCAGAATCCCTGGAAGCACAGCATTCCCATCTGGTCCAACTGTCTGGGTGAGCTTAGTAACTTGGTCCGTCCATCCTTAGAGAAAAACTGCTCTACTGTGTAGACAAAATTTGTCTTTCCTTGGTTGCCATTCTTCACCTTGGTCTTAGCTAGTATCTTCACCCAGTCCTTGAGCTAAGGTTGGGTGAAGGTTCTGGAGCTCGCCCCGGAAGCCTGCACTTTTTGCTTACCAGCAGAGGGAGCTGCAGGAGTAGTTAGGTGCCTTCCCATTTGTTTAACTTTATATTTTCCCCCACCCCCGCCGCACTGCGGCTTGTGGCAGTGTTGGTTCCCCGTCCAGGGAGGGATGAAACCCAGGCCCCTGCAGTGGAAGCGCGGAGTCCTAACCACTGGACCGCCAGGGAATTCCCCTATTTAACTTTTTACACTTGAGTAGCAGCAATGGGTGAAAAGTATACTGGTGCAGGGCTTCCCTGGTGGCGCAATGGTTGAGAGTCCACCTGCTGATGCAGGGGACACAGGTTCGTGCCCCGGTCCGGGAGGATCCCACATGCCACGGAGCGGCTGGTCCCGTGAGCCATGGCCGCTGAGCCTGCGCATCCGGAGCCTGTGCTCTGCAATGGGAGAGGCCACAGCAGTGAGAGGCCCGCGTACCGCAAAAAAAAAAAAAAAAAAAAAAAAAAAAAAAAAAAAAAAAAAAAAAAGTATACTGGTGCAGATATGTGGGCTTTGACAGAGACAGAGACTCACAGACAGGATGAGGAGGAGGGACCTGGGAAAGCTCCCACGCCCCCCCCCCCCCCCAGGAAATAACCTTGCCATTGCAGAGGGCCTCCCTTCACCCTAGGGAAAGCCATTCTGTTGCATCCAGATTCCTCTGACCACAGCATGGGCCTCACAGTGGATACTCAGGATTGGGCTTTACAGTAAACCTCTGGGTTCAATACAGCCTTTCAGTCCCCAGTATGAAAACACCAAAAGGCCGGCATCATCTCCTGTGACCCCCAGTAGATAGCATCTCTTGCTATACCAGACCTCTCTCTGGAATTTAATTTTTTAGTGGTTCTCTTTTTTTTTTTTGGCCTTACCTACAACCAAATGGGACTGAATGGACGTGGACAGGGTTCCCAGCCTAAGGGGTAGGGTAGTCAGGATTGAGGTGTGACCCCAACTTGGGAACTTGCCCAGTCTGTTGCTTCATTTGGTTAGGACAGAGTAGCCTGAGTGTTTGACAGCTGCTGGGGGTGAGGATGGCAGCAGGACCCCAAGAACCAGGCCCTCCGGTGGTTGCTGTCGTAAAGCCACACTGGTGTATTTGGCCACACCTCTCCCCCGGAATGTTTCAGAGCTGGTTGACCCTGTGTGGAAGGCATTACCGTCGTAGAAAAAGTTGCAGGAACATTGTACAGCAAGGAAGGGTAGAAATGGTCGATTGCTTGGGGCTAGAAGCCACGAATGTCACGAATAAAGGCACCAAGGTGTCTAGAACCAGACTGCCTTAATTAAAAGTGCTGGGTGTGTTGCAGGTGACAGCGCTCTGAGGAGACAGGGAGGTATTCAGGCTTACCTCACAGATGGGAGTGGTACTGTATGGTGTTTACTCTACAGAACTCTTGGCTTAGGCTTCTATAGCTCTGTAAGTTTGTAAGAATAAATACAATCATGCTAGTTGAGCCTGAGTCTCTTGTGTTGCAATAGGATTTTTAACAAAGGCCTAGACCAGGGTCATTGCCCCTTCTGAATTCTGAAATGAAGAAATAGCCTAATAGCCCCAACCGTTCTTCTGAGGACTGCCTCTCCTTTCTCTTGTTCCCAATAGGCATAGTTTTCAGGCCTGCTCATTGGAGACCACGGATGGAATAGGCCTTTGCATATCACTTCTCATTAGAATGAATTCCCTTTGGCAGACCCTTTCTTCCCAGGTTTTGTTTTGTTTTTCAGGGTTTTTTTTCAGCTGAAGAAAATTTACTGGAAGCCAGAAAAAGCCGAACAGATTGGCTAGAACTTTTTTGAAGGTAGTTTCCTGGAATTCCATTGTACAGGTTTAGTGTGGGCAGCAGCCCAGAAAGATTCTTTTGTGTGAGATTAATCCGTTACCTACAGGAAGGAGCTACTAGCCTGGGTCTCTGCTTAGTCTGGGGTGATAGCATCTAAGACTGCTAGTCAGAAACTTCAGTGGCAAAACACACAGCTGTGCAACCTCCTGGGTGTGTCCCACCTCTAGAGGGTAGGCATAGGGAGAGTAGATGCTCTCATAGATACTTCCTGCCCTTGTAGGAAAAAAGTAGCTTGATTTCTCTTCACAACACTAATTAGATTGTCCTGTCCTTTAGTCCCTGTATCTACAGTGACTTAATGTGCTCTAGAGAAGTGATTGACAACCTTTGTGAAGGGCCAGTCAGTACATTTGGCTTTGCAGGCCATACAGTTCGGTGCACCTACTCAACTTTGCCATTGTAGCCTGAATGGAGCTGGACGGTATGTAAATGAAAGGGCGTGGCCAGATCCAGCCTGCTGGCCTTAGCCTGATGATCCCTGCCCTAAAGCCAACTAAAGCACTGGAGAGAAGAACCTCTGCACTGACAATGCCTTTCTTTAGACCCATATTCCACTGTGTGCAGGGCTGGAGGGCCCAAGGTTTGCCTGCAAGCTCTGCAGCTGAAGCTACAGCAGGCTATCTCTCCCACACCTTCCTTTATAAGGCCTCTGGAGTCTAGCCTGCCTACCTCAGGAAGCTGTCTGAAACAGGAATAAAGCAAAAACTGGACAACATCCAGGGAGGGCTCTTTCAGCCCGCTTCAGGGACTGGAATGGCAAAGGCTGAGCACTCTTTAGCCCACAGGCCTCAACACGGGTGATCTTTAATTGCTTTGACACAGCAACATTAGTCCACAGGCCTACCCTTTTCCCTCCTTCTCTGCACTGAGGAAATGGGCAGTCCTGGGGCCAGAACCCTGTTCTTCCAAATTAATTACCTATCTTGCCGTGACTGATATTGAGCTAATCATAGATTTCACCACCCTGCCTAACGCTATACGCTGGAACAGCTGCAGCTTCGTGCATCGGGGAGAGCCTGGCTCAAGGGTGGCAAGAATACAAGGGGAGTATTAGCCCTCAGTTCTCACGTGGGCCCCTCCTACCAGGAAGAAGACGGTTCAGCCTAGGCCTGTTCAGGAGTCACTGACTTCAAGCTCTTCTACCCCAGCTCTTTCAGGGTATACCCAAAGAGCCCGGAACAGGGAAGGGATTTGGGCTGGGCCTGAGGAGGTGAGGCTGGCCAGGATGTAGGGTGACTGGCAGAGAAGAGCCAGGAAGGCTGTGGCCTCTACAGCAGGCAGCAGGCACGGAACATCAGCAGGTCCTTAGGCAGCGTGAGCTTCAGTGAGACACTCTCATTGGCCCCAATGAAGAGCACCCCGCCACGCTCCAGGGAGATTGTGGCCTGGGCTGTGCGGGTGCTGGCTGTCACTGTCCCCTGCACCATCAGGAGGATACTTGCAGAGTCCAGCGCCAAGACCCTATATTCAGTGACGGAGCCAGGCACCTGGGCAGAAAGAAACAGCAAGATGGAGCAGGGTTTGAGCTGCTGTTAGCTCACAGGGGTCCCAGGACAACCCCAAGGACAGTGAGAGGGAGAGCTCTGCCACCTTCTCCCCCACGGCTCGGGCTTTTGTCAGCACGGAGGCCCTTGTCTGGTCCCTGGTGCAGAAAGCCACAGACAGGCCCTGTGGCCATTCTCCCATCACGCGAGCTTGGCAGAAAGGAAACCCAGCCCCAGGTATACTCCACATTGTGGCCCTTGCCAGTGTTCTTCATGCCACACAAAAAACACCCACCACAAAAAAAAAAAAAAAAAAAACACCCACCACAGCCCTCACTCACCTCCATCTTCATAACGGTGAAGTCTGGAACAGGGGGATCATAGATAGAGAGGTAGGGGTCTTCCTGACTCCGTGCTGGAGGAAAAAGCCTGTCCTGGCTGGGGCTGGGGATATAGCTGAGCATTTCACACAAAGTTGGCACATCGATGAACTTGGGCGTCAGGCCAGCACGCACCGTGTTGTCCGAACATGCCATGCACTCCACGCAGTCTGGGGACAGACAGTTGTCATGTGGTAAGCTAATGAAGGATGCCTTGGAATTTGGCTCTCCAGGGCAGGGCCTTCTAACTTGAGTGCCATGAGCTCTCTGTAGAATTAGATAAAAATATGTGAATTGCGTCTTCTGTGAGAATGGGCTGAGATAACAGATACCAAAACAGGTGACACGTCACCCACCATTGTCAAGGGGAGTCATGTTTATCCCCTGGAGGAGCCCCAACCCTCTAGAGATTTTATAATTTCCCTTTCTACCACAGAATCCTGTCCACGAGTAGATAAATGGCCAACAGTCAAAATGTGACACCGTTCTGTGGCAATGTGTTTTTTTGGGTTTTTTGTTTTTTTTGCGGTACGCGGGCCTCTCCCTGTTGTGGCCTCTCCACAGGCTCTGGACGCGCAGGCTCAGCGGCCATGGCTCACGGGTTCAGCCGTTCCGCGGCATGTGGGATCTTCCCGGACCGGGGCACAAACCCGTGTCCCCTGCATCAGCAGGCGGACTCTCAACCACTGCGCCACCAGGGAAGCCCGGCAATGTGTTTTTTAACATAAAATCTCTGCAAAGACCGGACAGACATGTGAAGGCAGGGAAGAGAACAATGCCCTTGATCCAATATAGCCTGGATTCAAACTGTGGTTCCCACACATATTGACAGGTCTTAACATGAGGGCATCATGACCTCACAGGGGTGGTGTGAGGATCCAAGCAGTTGTCCAACTGAAGCTGGCATTCATCGTCCCTATTGGTCACTTCCCTGCTGACCCCAGGAACCTTGGGAGGTCAGAGCTGGATGGGACTTTAAAAGTGGTCTCCTCGACCACCCCCTCCTGTTTTGTCCAGATGGTGAAACAAGGCCTGAGGCGGATGGCAGTGGGGCTCACTGCTGAAATGCGGCTCACCTCCTTTCAGGTAGGCATGGGGCACGTTGGCCTCCAGAAACATGGCCTCCCCCGGCTTCAGGGTAAGCAGGTT